TCGGTAATGATAGAACAGGAAACAGCTTTTAATAAATCCTCTTGTGTCGCGAGAACACGCTATTTTTCTAACAAGGTGACGACAGTCGGTATGGCCTCGAAATACCGTATTATTGAGTCGTACGTAAGGCTCGACTCGTGCCTTACGTACGTTTAGCGTTTGTATTCTGATCTTGTTTTATCTCTATTTTTGACCGATAAGTTTTTGRACAGAAAAACACGAAATTGCTACTTCGCTGTCTCGAGATGTGATTTGTTCTAGAAGGTCAAAGCGGCGGACCGGTTTACCTCGAGGTTTGCTGTTCCGTTGTCGATTTTGCTGGTGGGAACTCGACAGCGCATTGACAGCTGGGGTATAAAGATTACCATCAAATGTTTATGCCAAGGCTAACTTTGCCAGATTTGTTTACAATAAAAGAATCAAGAGTATCTTTTCATTGTTTATTTTGAGTCCTTTAAGTTATRACGAAAGTCGCGCTATTATCATTTTTCACTTTCTTCGTCGTTGGTAAACGATGGATATTCTCCGATGGCTCGCAGTTTTTCTGGTTATTACTTTGGTTGCTGCCGYAAGTCAAGCATCGCGGATTCATAAAAGTGAGTATGAACGTAATACTACTGAGTAGGGATACTGAGCTACGTTAAAACACTTCAAATTGACTACCGTTTCAGCTGGCAGACAAACTGCTCTAGACAAGCTACAGAAGCTTGAAACTAGATGCTGCAGTAGATCACGGTTATGATTTGTTAAGGCTGTTTTATCTTGGATGATAGGTCTTAGAAGTTTTTTCCATTAMGTGTGCTGTACGACATGACACCCCTCAACGGGTGGAGAAACGGTACTTCTCTTTTAAGCATGATATGCAACAAGATATGCAGTCCAGAAAAACCAGTCAAATGTTTAATATTTATAATATGAAATCATCTTTGCTCACGTAACCCAAGTCAAGAGCGCACAATACGTTCGACCCGCAGGGATCGATTCCTTAATTCAACTAATCCGCTGAAATATAAGACTATATAAACTATACAGTAGTCAAACGACACGCGCA